GTACCCTGCACTGCCAGCAGCTGTACCCTGCACTGCCAGCAGCTGTACCCTGCACTGCCAGCAGCTGTACCCTGCACTGCCAGCAGCTGTACCCTGCACTGCCAGCAGCTGTACCCTGCACTGCCAGCAGCTGTACCCTGCACTGCCAGCAGCTGTACCCTGCACTGCCAGCAGCTGTACCCTGCACTGCCAGCAGCTGTACCCTGCACTGCCAGCAGCTGTACCCTGCACTGCCAGCAGCTGTACCCTGCACTGCCAGCAGCTGTACCCTGCACTGCCAGCAGCTGTACCCTGCACTGCCAGCAGCTGTACCCTGCACTGCCAGCAGCTGTACCCTGCACTGCCAGCAGCTGTACCCTGCACTGCCAGCAGCTGTACGCTGCACTGCCAGCAGCTGTACATGTCGCCGCTTAGGCCTACGGACAGCAGGCCTAAGCGGCCGCCCCTGAGATCTGAGTGCTGTGATGCTGTGTTATGTCGTGCTGTGCAATGTGTTATGCTAGTACGTGCTGTCATGATATGGTGTCGTGTCGCATTTGTTGTATGATGTGCTCTGCATTACTGTGTTTTTCTGCTGTCATACTATTCTGTGGTGTGTGATGTGTCATGCTGAACCAGACTGTTATGCTGTGTGCTGTGTTGTCGCGCTACGTTATGTAATGTGCTCTGCATTACTGTGCTTTTCTGCTGTTTCGCTGTGCTGTACTGTGAGATGTGTTATGCTGAACCAGGCAGTGCTGTGTGATGGTGAACCATGCTGTGTGTGCTGTGTTGTCGCGCTCGCTGTGTGCTGTGCCGTGCATGTCAATCACCGCAGCACAGCTCTACAAGGGAGGCCTTGACGCCTTCCTTCATTACCAGCGCTGTCTTATTCTGGCCACGTGTGGCGAGTGTGGCTAGCCTCTGGCTGCTGTGTGGCGGTACACACTGCCGGTGTGTGGCGGTACACACTGCCGGTGTGTGGCGGTACACACTGCCGGTGTGTGGTGACCCACTTTCACACGACACAGTTCCACACGAGTTTTTAAGCCACGTTATCTTACCTCCCGCGGCGCCCGCTGCACGACATGGTAGCTGCCGTGGCCCGCGTGTTATCTTTGTTATATTTGCTGCTCGTATAATGTTAGATAAGTAATAATATTAATAATTATATTATACTAATAATACTATAACTATACTATACTATTGTATACTAAACCATAATTATACTAAGCTACTAATTATATAAGTAGGTATAATAGTCAGAATAGTGAGATATACCGTAATTAGCTAACCTATATATCGGAAATGTTGTTAGTAGTTATAATATTAGGAATTATATCATTAATAATATTGGTGAAATATTCATAATAACATTAGTAGTAATATTAGAAAATATATAGTAGCTATAATATTCGGAGTAATGAGAAATAATTAGCTAACATATATCTTGGAAATGTTAGTAATTATAATATTAGGAATAATGATATTAGTAATTATAATTATAATGAGAAATAATTAGCTTGAATATTTTGTTAAAGTTGGTGTGTTGAATGCTTTGCTCAATAAACATTATATAGGGGCTGTTGGGGCACGTATCCAGGATACTTAGGCCGCTACGTGTACATTTTTAATGGGAATTTTAACAGCATTTCTCCCGGTGCTGAAAATGCAGTGATGTGTTTTATAATAATAATATTATAGTGATATCAAAAATTAATAACATCATAGTATGTATATTAATAATGGTGATAGATTAGCGGGGCCTTTAAAGCCAGGAAACAGGAAGGATGAATATCGAAATGAATTATCGAATTATCGGAGGGTGAAAAACAACTACATTTTAAAGTTGTTTTACGTTTTAATTTTCATTTTTTTATTTTTTTAATGAATAAATTTATTTGATTCATAAAAAGAATAGTTTACAGTCCGCGTTGAGATTTGGTTGGTGCCACAGACTCGAGAATATAATATTTACAGCTAGCTGAGGCTCGCACCAGCAGCTCGATGTTGCAACCCATGCTTGACCCACACCCCCCACCGCCCCTCACCCGCCC